TGAATATGACAACTTTTTTGGTTAAAAATTAAAATATGCATATCCTTAAATAAAATGGCCATGATGTATCACAGTATGTGATCACCTAATATAAAGATAAATTTTGAAGGTGCATTTGATCTAATTTTTAGTTTGTATGTGTAACCTTATTAGTTGATTATTTATATGTTAAACATAGATTAACTAGTATTATATAAAATAAATCATTTTGAAGAGGTCGTTTTTCTCATTTTGGTGCATGTAACAAAAAATGTGATACAATAAAGATGGATGTTTGTTGATTCAACATTAAATATTTTTAACAATGATTATATTTCACAAAAAATGCAAGTTGCATATATGTAGGAGGAATTTAAAAAATGATACCGTCGGACTCTCAATAACGACAAATCAACGATCAAAGTTGCTTAAGATTTTGGTATTCACGAAAAATCAAATCAAATCAAAGAAAAAAGATCAGTACCTTTTGGTTTGGTTTGATTATAATTTTTTAACTTTAAAAATACTGACAAAGTTTGATTTGATTTTAGTTTTAAGCGGACAAAAAAAAGAGAGAACCAAACTGGCTATATAAGGTCTGTAATATGAAATTATGATCCAAAATAAAATAGATATGAAGTTAAAGTTTTGTATGGACATGTAATTTGAACCTTTTAAGTTGCATTTTTATTTTTCATAAACCTGAAAACACACAAATTGTGAAAATTATCAAAATTTCTCAAATTTTTATTCAAGTTTACTATAAATGAGCAAATTATAGTTCATATCGAAATATACTAAGATGTTGATTCACTAGTCAACAATAGTAGTAACTTTAATATGACCCTTTCACATGATATGGAACAATCTTCACGCCAAGCATGACTCTTTTTTTTGCAAAATTAAAAATGATAGATCCTCAATTTTACCAAATCAAAACATGACCAACAAGATCCAAACTCAATTTTTAGGTCAGTAGATGAATATTTTACTTCTAAAGAGATGCTTCAAACCAGTCATATGAAATTGGGTCTTGAATGCACAAATGACTAAATATTTTCCTTCATACCAAACACATCCAAAATGAAAAAAAGTGAATAATTCTCATGGTCAAACGGCTCGATTAATTTGCAAGAAAGTTAAATAATTGTTCCAATTCTCAAAGCAACTTATATTCCTTTCCAAATTTGCTTACTAATATTCTGAGTCATCACCTGTGGCGTAGCTACATGGTGGTCAGTTGGACACCCCTCATCAAAAAGATATCCATATATACAAGTACAATGATGCACGAAATGATTAAATAACATATAATTGTCTCGTTGAGGGTACTTAATCTAAGTTACATAAAACTTGAGCAGCTACCGTTTTCCATTGGAGATCTAGTACATTTAAGATACGTGGACTCGTCTGGCAATGCAATGCGTAGTCTTCCAAAGCAGTTATGCAAGCTTCAAAATCTGCAGACTCTTGATCTACATGATTGCACCTCACTTTGTTGTTTGCCAAAACTAACAAGTAAACTTGGCAGTCTCCGAAATCTTTTACTTGATGATTGACTTGTATGCCACCAAGGATAGGATCTTTGACATGCCTTAAGACTCTTGGTTTCTTTGCTGTGGGTGAGAGGAAATGTTCTCAACTTGGTGAACTAGGAAACCTAAATTTCATTCACACACCTTGAGAGAGTGAAGAAGGATACAGAGGCCAACTTATCTGCAAAAGCAAATCTGAACTCTTTACGGATGAGTTGGTATAATTGTTTTCATGAATCAGAAGTGCTTGAAGCCCTCAAACCACGTAGCTATGAATCAGAAGAAGTTAAAGTTCTTGAAGCCCTCAAACCACACCCCAATCTGACTTCTTTAACAATCATTGGCTTCGGAGGATTCTGTCTCCCAGACTGGATGAATCACTCAGTTTTGAAAAGAGTCGTCTCTATTAGAATTGAAGGTTGCGAAAACTGCTCACGCTTACCACCCTTTGGTGATTTGCCTTGTCTAGAAAGTCTAGTGTTAGAAAATGGGTCTGGGGAGGTGGAGTATGTTGAAGAGGATTATGTCTCCACAAGAAGATGGTTTCCATCCCTGAGAAAACTTAGTATATGGAACTTTCGTAATCTGAAAGGATTGCTCAAAAAGGGAGGAGAAGAGCAATTCTCTGTGCTTGAAGAGATGGATATATCAATTTCATTGATTTTTATCTAAATCAAGGACAATCGTCAAACAACTCTATCTTAATATATCACTTTTTCTTAATGTGGAATGTTTTTCATTAGTATTGAAAGAAAAATCAGGGCGGTAATTTGGATTTGGTGTAATTGGGTGTAATTATATTGTCTATCTCGTTTGGTTCGCCATGTAATTACCTGGTTAGCAGGTAATTGGGTGTAATTGACAGAGTGTAATTACACTCTCCAATTCGTATGGGAGGTTGTGAATTGCGGGTAATTACATGGTGTAATTACAAGCTGATTACTTTTTAATTTCTTCCTTTTATTTTTGTTCATTTTAATATATTTTTATTTTTATTATTTTAAATTCTTTTTTATTTTTATTAATCTAATATTTTCTAAAATATTGTTTTATTATTTATATTTCATTTCCTTCTTATTCTTAACTTTTACTTCTTGTGATTCAATGTAATTCTTCGTAATATCTAAAAAAAATCAGTAGTATAATTTTGTTAGTATTCTAATTTTTAAATTAAAGTAGTAATTCATTATTGAATAAAGTTATGGACTTACATTTTCCTTTTCTTTTAAATCATATTTATGTATGTTATGTTGAAATTTGACATAAGAGTATTATGTTAAATTTTTTGTTTTAAATTTAGAACTTATGTTATATTTTCAATTTCATTTGTTTTGGGAGTATTGACTCAATATTCCATTGCAAGCTATTCTTTTTAAGTTAAACTTGATAAATTATTGTTTTTTGTCAAATGTTTTATAATTTTATGACATTATATTTATAATATTAATCTTTTGTCAAACATGCATTTCATGACATTCATAGAAATTCTGTACTTTTAATTTTTATGATTAATTTAATTGAAAAATACTACATTTGAAAAATATAAATCAATTATTTTTTATAATATTAGTTATGAACATATATTTATTAATTAACATATTTTTAAAAGACAATATATATCTTAAATGTTTAATTGAATATCATTTATAAAGGCTCTTATTTTGTCGAATATAAATTTTTTAATTTTAAATAATTAATTTTTATTTTCAAAATTCAATATTACTTTATGATTACACTTGTGCAACCAAACAAGTACACTTGTAATTACACTGTGACAAACAAACAAGTCAACCAAATTACTAGGTTGCAAAATTATTAAGCTGATAATTACTACACCTTAGTAATTACACCAATTTCAATTACCTGATTACTTTCCAAACATACTCTAAAAGAATCACTAAATTTGAGAATGCGAAAAGAAAGATCAATGAATGTTGAAATAAAGTAAAAATATGTACGCTAAGAAATGAATAAACAAATATTATGCATGCAAATAATTTTTCTTTTATTAATTAAGATATATTATATGTTTAACTTCATGTTTGTATTTTTTTAGTTCTAATTTCTACTTATGAGCAATAAATTTAAAATATTGATCTTTCAAATAGTAACACACAATGAGTTACGATTCAATCCAATCTAACATGTTAAGAGGAAATAACCAATTGATCTTGGAATAAATTTCCAACATATTCAAAGCATCAACTTGTACAGGAATAAATTTACAAATGATTCTTCTTCTACGGGCGAATTAAGTTTTCTAAATTCCCTCTAACATTGCAAGTTCTTGAAATCTTTAATGATGGGAGACGATGATGACAACAACAACATATTTAGTGAAATTCCACTAAGTGGAGTATGGAGAAGGTAAAGTATATGCAAACCTTATCACTATCTCATGGAGATAGAGAGATCGTTTCCGAAAGATCTTTTCCTTTTAAGTTGACATAATTAAATACCTTCTTGATTTTGTGAAATATCAATTATTTAAGACCATTTTTAGAGGTTAAAACATCAATTATTTTGGATCAAGAGAGTAAAATATTTGAGATAACTTATTAAGAGGCGCGTGGGAGATGAAAAAAGTTTTCAAACTGAGTACTCCACCTAGCACAATAATTTCATAGTATGATTTGGGGGTGATTACGTAAACACCTAATAATTTTAGATATGAAAGTTGCAAAACAATGATAGTTTAGAGTTCTTCCAAAACCTATTCACTCAAAAAAGGAAGAAAAAAAAGCATGTGTACTACCACTTGGAACTCTTTGAAATTAAGTTTGTCAAACATAATATTCACATGTCATATTCCACCGAGAGATATTTTAATATGAGTTTATGATAGTTTTAAGGCATTTTGTCAACACCCAATTTTGGAAGCATGCACGAATTGCATATGATAACTTTTCCAATAAAGATAAGACTTCTTCAAAGTTCAAAGTACAACATAATCCATGCAGATTTCTTTTGACCTTTTTTATATTTTATAGAGAAAAGTATTGAAAACACTTATGAATTTGGCGTAATTTATTAGTTTTGTTCCTAAACTGTTGATAGCCTTAAAAACAACTCTCTATATGATTAACTAAACTTAGATACACCTCTTATTTGCCACTTGACATACCAAGTGGTCTCAAACTCTTGTAGGAGTATGAAATTTTTAATAAAACACTGAGAGAAGTGTTGAAAATACTCCTAAACTTGACAAGAGTGATTACGGAGCAACCAAGTCAACAGATTCCTATCTGGCCATGGAGACAAATTTGGAAAGGCAGAATTCCTTATAAAGTCTCATGTTTTATATGGCTGCTAGCTAAGGAAGCAGCTTTGACACAGGATAATGTTATGAAAAGGGGGATAACCTTATGTTCTAGGTGTTTTCTTTGTGGAGAAACATCAGAAACTGTTAACCATCTTTTTCTACACTGCAAATTTACTCAACAATTATGGAGGGTATTCTTAAGTCTCAAAGGCATATCCTGGGCTATGCCTAGGAGAATTACTGAAGCCCTAAAAAGTTGGGAGGAGGCAGGAGTGCTAGCTAAAGACAGAACGAGATGGAGAATTATCCCTGCTTCAATCTGGTGGGCAACCTGGAAAGAGAGAAATTCTAGGTGTTTTGAGAGCGTAGAGAATAGTATGCAGAAAGTTAAACTCAGCTGCATTTTGTTGTTATGTTTTTGGTGCAATCAATTATACTCAAATGAAACTGTCTCTATAATTGATGTTCTAGATTCAATTTAGATTTAGAATAGTGGAGTTTTTGGAGTTCATCTGTATATAAGGTTTAGTACTGCCCATGTACTATTGTGTTATAATACAAAGTTACCAAGTTTCAAAAAAAAAAAATTAGTTGGGCAAATGTGGTTGAGGGTACATGCGGTTCCCATTTCTTTTTAACTCTTTTTTTGTGATTACAAAATTTTCGTCAAATTAAGAAAGAGTCTTGAGTTCTTGTCAACCTCACTTCCTTTTTACCATTTCCTCCCATTATGAATTCATAATGATCTTAATCAGAAGTGAGATTCAAGATTTGAAATTCATGAATTCTTATAGAGAATGCAAGATAATACTATACAATAATAACTGGGGTCATAACGAAATATTTATATATCTTTAGTGAATTCCTTAATAAGTAGGGACAAAAGCTATTGAATTCACATAAACCCATTCAGTACATGTTAGATTCGCCAATTTGACCGTAATACTACACATTCTTTTGTCAAGCATCTATGGAGGTTATATACATTTGGATGATGACATTATATCGTGATTTTATTCTTGAATAATGAATATATAAGGCATATAAATCCAAGTAAACTATTAACTATCACTACAGAATCCCACAACCAATGATTTCCCTTTAGCAATGAATTGCAGTCAAGTTCAGCAACATTCAATTAAAAAAAAAAAAGAATGTCTCAAACATATTACGTATATATTTTGATCATTGACATTGAACTCTAGATTCTATATTCCAGTGATAATACATGATATCCTCATTGCCTTTAATTACAGAAGTATATAGATGTCATTTGAAAAACAAAAAAAACTCAGGCACTAATAAATTCCCCACACAAATAGCTGCTAGAGAAGTTGCACAAATTGGTTTCCATGACTATTATTATAGAATTGCTAGTTTTGTTAACGTACCTTTCAGATACTAATGTATCGAACATTTCAACTGATGAGGCTGCTCTTTTAGCTTTCAAAGCTCATATAACTTCAGATCCAAATGGAATGTTGTCGAAAAACTGGACAAAAGGGACTCACGTTTGCAATTGGATAGGCATATCTTGCAGTAGAAGGCATCAAAGAGTGACATGGTTCGCGGATATTACATTTACATGGTAATCAGTTCTCTGGTCAGATTCCTAGCACAATTGGCCAACTACAAAATTTGGTTAGCCTTTCATTGTCAAAGAATATGTTAGATGGTTCCATACCTGAACTATTTGAAGATTTGGTTTCATTGGAACACTTGGATCTATCTAGCAACAATCTATCAGGCATGATCCCCAAGTCCTTGAGGAATCTTGAACATCTCATGTATTTCAATGTCTCGTTCAATGGGCGGGTCAAATTCCAGAAAGTCTTGGATTACTAAGAAGGCTCGAGTTGTTGGATCTTTCTGAAAATGATCTCTTTGGATCTGTTCCTTCATCTATCTTCAATGTCTCTTCTTTGAAAGTCATCAATTTGATTTATAATGCACTGTCTGGGACTTTGCC